TAGACAGAATTTCATTCTGTCTTAGATATTGATCTCAAGCTTACCATGTAGCCCAGAATGGCCTTTAATTCACAGAATTCCTTTCTGTGGCCTATTAAGTGCTTACATAACAGTTATGAACCACCACTTGGCTCTCGGTTTCATATACTTTTAAAACATTAATTTTTATCTATGTGTAGGCACCTGTGTGAGTATATGTATGCCGCATGTGTCCAGGTTCCTATGGAGGTCAGAGGATCATGTTAGATTCCCTGGAAGTGCAGTTACTGGTGATTGTGAGTTGTTATAAATGAGTGCTGGAAACAAAACGTGGTCTTCTGGAAGAGAAGGAAATGTTCTAAATTACTGAGCCATAGCTCCTGTCCAACGGTACTCATCTTTTGACAAACACTTCTAATAGTGTACGGGAACATTGGAGGTCCATTTTGACTCCATGAGACATGGTGCTTTAGTTGTGTGAATCCCACTTTTCCAGGCATAAAGGCTATCAGAGCCAGCGAAGGATGTACACAATCTCTGTACTGACAACTCTGATATATTAATGAAAGAAAGTGAGAGAAACACTGATGCAGAGACAGACATTGCTATACATGAGCTGGAAGATTTCAGTCTTTAACATAGCCATACTCCACAAAGCACTCTTCAGAATCAATGTAACTCCCATCAGAACTCAGTGATTTCCCTACCGAAATGGTGAAAATAATGCTTAAATTCTTATGGATTCAGAAACACACCAATTAGAGGAAGAAATCTTAAGTGAGGGATAAAACTGGAGGCACACTTTTTCTGATTACAAATGGTTTTTTTGAGTCACGACACAATGAACAGTGGATGCTCAGGTGTCTCAGGTGAGAGTTATAAATTGTTCTACTGAGCAGCAGTGAGGAAGAGGTTCAAACACCTTTTAAAATATCAGTTGTATATCTGAAAGACTCAAGAATCATTTTTCTATTTCTTCTGCAAATGGGTAATAAATCCAAGTACCAATTTCATTCATTACTATTCTAGCCATCTATCTCAAGGCTTCTTTTAAATTTGATTGAAAGGTTATTTTAATTGGGAAGTAATATCAGAACATTACCCCAAACTAACTAGATAAGCTATTACGTTCAATGGCAAATATTCTTCTGGGAGGACATGTGCTGTCTCTTACTTTCAGCAAACAAGTACAAATGAATTCCATTGGATGCTAAGACATGTGGGTGTCACCTGGGGAGGGCAAACTAGGACTTAATGAATCACCTGGTTCCATAAGTCTCTTCTGTTTCAGAACCCTATTGACCTTTCTATTAATAAGCATGTAGCAATGATCCCTAAAGGTTTGCTTTGTTAGATTATAGCTTTTCCTCCTTTTAACATGCATACAAAGACACCCAACCTTGTATTTTCTTCAAGTGTGTTTTTTGACCAGTGAGTGTATTGATGGTTCACATTGCAGAGTTTTGAGATCCCAACTTTCTCTACATGAATAAAATACATCCACTTCATAAAGTCCTCATTGGGTTTTATGTCAATATTGGCTTTAAATGGTAAATGAAAGACTGATAGACTTCATTAGGATAGATTTTTAAATAACTGAAGAATAAATTTAAAATTTGTAATGTACTTTTTAGATCACCTAGAGATACTGTGTAGTGGTTCCTGGCATACATAGACTGGTTTTTCTAAGGCAGGTGGGTACTGCATGGATGGCCAGTGGCAACCATTATTGTTACTAGACTTCAGGAACTGAGACAAGAAGAGGAAATCAGAAGCAACAACCTGATTTCAACTAGGTAAGGTTCATTGGCCTTTCTCCTCTATTTCCCTTAGCAGTGACAGATCCTTTGAGGAACAGGATTTTGATTGTTCATCATTCCTGATCTAAGCCGATAATCAGTAAAGCCAGTCGAGAATCTAGATATTAAGCATACAGTGGAGAGGAAAAGGAAGAAAGAAAAAGTATTAGTTTTTATACTCTACATTCGAATATCAGAATTTAGGACAGAGGACACAGACATATTGCACCTATTGTCTTATTTTTGTATTTATGGTAAAACTACCTGACATGTTGAAAACAAAACTATAGTCATCCAAACACTAAGTAATTGCAAAACTACTCAAACTTCTTGTATTTAATAACTAAAGACATGCTTAACCTTTATATATCTGAAGACCTTTGGCATTTCGCAGATATCCCTTTCTTTAATCTCACAACAAAACTGCACTATGAGGTCACTTCTCTCATTGTTCAAGTTAAAAAAGTATCCTGAGCACCAAAGAGTTTATGTGCCATGTGCAATTTGTTATAGATGACCTGTGTGTCTGCCTTGTTTACCTCCACTTAGAACTTGGCAATCAGTGCAGAATGGTTAGTGAGAGCTAGAATGAAAACAAAGTTGTTACCTTGACTCTGCTTGAATCAGAATGCAAAGAACAGTAAGACTATGTTCAATCTGAAGAAGAAGTCTTCAAGAGAACTGGAAACCACGTTGTAGGTAGGATAGAAAAAGGAACTCTGGGTGCTTTCTTTTAGAAATGGAAACCAATAGTGGTGTGACAAACTTCTCAATGATTTATATAGAAAGTTGAAAATTTGAACCATTAAATGTATGCTGACCAACTGATAAGTTTAAAAGAAAAACACCTAATAATAGAGCTAACATCAAAGATAAGTTACAATAGTAACTTAAACAGGAAGATTCCATCAAAGAAGATACAGGGGACAGTCTTGAATGAGTGGTGGATTGATTCACCGAATCTCCCAATTCATCACGTCTGGTGAACAGTTGCAGAAACAGATGGATCTTATGTTTATTTACTCTGACAAAACTGAAAAAAATCAAAAGGTCCATAACATTTAGAAGACATTTAATACTGATAGCATTGTGTCTGGTAAAAGTTCAACTCTGTTGGAACTTAAAATATTGCAAGCATACTAATAAACTGATATGAATTTTATGCAATGTTTAGGGAGATGAAAATATTAACACTTTCAATCAAAATGCAGTCAACAACACAACCCATCAGTGATCAATAGGGAACAATTTCCTTTAAGGTTTTCACTAATGTAAATCTTAGTGGTGAACTTACTACAAACCACAGAATGCACTCTTTTCAATTTTTTTGCCTTCAGAAAAAGAGCTAAGCATGGTACTTTTAAAATGTAACTAAATCAGGCAGGGTGACACATGCCTGTAATCTCATATTGAAACAGGATTATCACAAGTTTTAGAAGAGCCAGGGCTATTCTATGCGTAGTAAGATCTTGCCTGAAGAAGACCTCACTTGGGCTCTCTCTCTCTCTGTCTGTCTCTCTCTCTCCTTATGATTTTCTAAAATAAATACCAAAATATTTAAAAGTAAATGTAGTACAAATGTAGTAAATATCTATAGATTGAAATGTGTAATACGAGCTATGATTCAAAGGAATTGTCAACTGTTTTCTCCATCTTTGTTATTTAATTTTTATTTAAAAATTAGATAAATGAGACCTGATTTTGTTGTTTTGTAAGATATTCTATCAAGCCTTTCACTAACTTCATTCTCTTTGAGGTTTAGTTTTCTGGGCAGGGAATATAAATTACACCTTGTTTGCCAGAACCTTGTTGCCACATTAATCATGCATATGCTCACCCAAAACTTTAGCACACTTTCTGCACAAACATTGGGTTTTTAAGACAAAGATAAAATAATTAATGGAAACATGTACTAATTGAGAAAATGAAAGGTAAGCAAGTTGTAAACCATGGTCCAGTGTACACAGCGGCCACTGGATTATCTGCAGAAGCAGATGTCTACCGAGAAAGTGAATCAGGTTCATCCTTATTAGTCAGAGAAGCTTTTGTAAAGAAAAATAATTTGAAGGCTGAAGCTGAGCACCTGGAATATTGATGGATTGCTGGGTTGGTGTGAGAGCTGCATGGAAGGATGTCAAGAAGCATAGTTAAATGCAGGGACAGGTCAGAAAGAATACTAAATGATTTGCCAATGAGGTCATAGTTCAGAACCTGAAAAACCATCAAAAGAATTAGGTTTTTGCCTTATCTGCTTTTTATTAGAAAGAAGTCATTAATCATACTATTATAAACTACAAGAGGAAATGAATGTGAATTAGAATAAATAAGCATTAGAATTAGAATGTGAGTTAGGTAAATAAGCAGACAAAATACAGAAAAAATACAGAATGAAATGACCAAGGATTTAAGCCAAGTTGTGACACAGAGGATGGAAAACAGGAGATGAAGAAAGAAAAACCATTAAATTATAGACAAAAGCCAAGGTATTTTACTAGAAGGAGTACAATGTGAGGAAGATTGCCAGGAAGGCTGCAAAGTTGCGGACATGAGATTATGAATGAATGAGCTGACTGGGGTGAGGGACTTGCAGAGACACTCAGTAGTTAAGAGCACTGGGTGTTCTTTCAGATGACCTGAATTAAATTTCCATCAACCCCATGGTGGCTCACAACTGTTCATAACTCCACTTCCAGGAAACTCAATGAATGCACTCTTCTGATTTCTGTGGGGACAAAGCATGTATTTTGTGTAAAAAAAATGCATGAAAGCCAAACAATCATATACATAAGAATAAATAAATACACCAAAATTATAGAATATTGGTGAAAGAGTTGAAGATGTGTATGGAATGACATAGTTTGAGATATTTGAGGAACTTCTAATTGATTGGAGCATGAAGAAAAGTTCAAGAGATCATTTAAATTATAGATGTCATCCTGGAGGGAAGGATATTTGGAGTCAAGGTTTGAGGATACCTTGTATAAGCATTACATAAAGAGAAGAAGATACCTGAAATAGCAGGGTGAGACTTAACTCTTTCCATTTTATTCAAAGAAGGAACAAAAACTCTAATCCTGCAAATCACAGATATTTATAATTTGGTAAAAGAAAGGGATTATTATAGAATCTGTGGAGTAATAGAAAAATCTAGGAAACATTGAAAAATTACTAAACGAATGTATTTCTTCTCATCTCCTTCAACAGGGACATTTTACACTCTAGATGAAGGCTCCAAATCACACAGTTGTGAAAGAGTTCATTCTTCTGGGGTTAACAGAGAACCCCACACTGCATGTAATTCTCTTTATGGTATTTCTTGGAATATATGCTGTTACTTTAGTAGCCAATATCAGCATCATCACTTTAATAAGAAACTTCCCTCAGCTCCACACACCCATGTATCAGTTCCTTAGCCATCTGGCTTTTGTGGACATTGGGTTTTCTACATCAGTCACACCTATAATGCTTGTAGGATTCCTTGGATATGGAATGGTACTTTCTGTGGCTGCATGTGAAGCCCAATTTTGCATTGCAGTGACATTTGGTACAGTCGAATGCTTCCTTCTGGCAGCCATGGCCTATGACAGATATGTGGCCATTTGCTCACCCTTGCTCTACTCCACACATATGTCCCCTAGAATCTGCTTCCTCTTGGTTGGGGTTTCCTATGTTGGTGGCTGTGTGAATTCAATGACATTTACTAGCTGCCTGTTGAGTTTGTCCTTCTGTGGGCCAAATCACATAGATCACTTTTTCTGTGACTTTCCTGCTGTGTTGAAACTTTCATGCTCAGATGTTTCCATTATTGGAATTATTCCCTCCATCTCTGCCGGATCCATCATTGTGATCACAGTGTTTGTCATAGCTATCTCCTACACCTGCATCCTCATCACCATCCTGAAGATGCGCTCCACCGAGGGCCGCCAAAAGGCCTTCTCCACCTGTACCTCCCACCTCACTGCAGTCACTCTCTACTATGGGACCATCACCTTCATCTATGTGATGCCCAAGTCCAACTACTCTACTGAGCAGAACAAGATAATGGCTGTGTTCTACACAGTGGTGATCCCCATGATTAACCCCCTCATTTACAGTCTGAGGAACAGAGATGTAAAGGAGGCCCTGAGAAAGGTCACCATCAAAATATATACAAGAGGATAAAGATTTTTCTTGTGCATGCCTCTATTAGTACTACCATGTGCTATTCAACTGATTGTGTAAGTTAAAATCCTTTGCAGCAACTCACATTTATACACTTGTATGTAGTAAGAAGACACTTTGAAATCATTCAAGTTGTAATAATGCAGCAGCGATTATTACTATTATGGAACACTGGTATATATCAAGATGTTTAGTTTATGTAGCAAACATTGATTTATGCTTGACATTTTAAGCATCTGTTATAGAAATAAATTATATGTGAACCCATTTATCCTGACAAAAGCTAATAAAGTGGCATCATTATTTTTCTTTTTAAAAGATTGTCTGGACATTGAAAAATAAATGTAGTTCAACCATTTAATCATGAAGGATCAGAGATGTAAGTTCAATAGTGAAATTCAGAGACTTAGTAACCAATTTAGTTTTCATAATAAATTTGTTAGATTGGCATTTTAAATTGTACTAAATTTATAGTACAAGCCTTGGAGAAATAAAGTGGTTTCTTCAGAGAGGTGAAGAGTTATCTCCTATGAATCTGTGTTCTATGCAGCACAAGTGTTGATTCAGTTCTGCTATTTCCCACACACTTAACCTCTACTATGCCATGATAAATCTAGTGTTGTAATTACTGTTATGATACACAAGGTTTGCCTAAGGCAATCAAGCCTGAGTTAGTACGTCACTTTAATCTTTGCGGACAATTGATTTTATAAAGAAGGTATAGTTAGTTCATGCACATCATAACCACGTTGGACCTGGGAAAACTGATTTGATTCCAATTTTGGGGAAAATAAAGTCTTGATAACATATTTATCCTAATTTTCAGTGTTCTAATTATGTTTAAATACACATTAAAACAGACTTCTGTGTCCCAGGCTGGCTGAAAACAGCACAGGCCCACCTGGAAAATGAGCCATTATGTTGAGCAAGGAGAAATGGGAGAGAAAAAGAAGTGAATCAGTTCATGTGCTGTGGAAATATGTGCAACTGAAGAAACAAAACTGGTGAGGGACAAGCCAATGTGGGTGACCTGCTTGCCAGTCAGGACCATGGTAACATCTGATTTTAGGCTGCTGCCAAGTACCATGTCTGAATCAAGGCCCTACAGCAAGTAGTAAGGGTCTGAGTTTATGTCTATGGCTTCTGTTACCATCGAGGGCCATGCAGGTACCTATGAACTGGTTAGCTACCAAAGACTATGTTGGTGTCTTAGGCTCATGATGCCAGTGGGGCCATACTGATCTGGTTGGCCTGTGTGGCTACCTGGCTCCATGGTGATATCTAGGCCAAATGCTGCTGAGGGCCACATCTGTGTCTATGGTTCTACCACAGTTGGGGTTTATGTTAATCTTCATGACCCATATTACCGCAGTGGTTCATAGGAACCATGCATGTTGAAATCTGAGGACTGTCACGAACTGGCACTGCCCTTTGCTGGCCCTGGGGTAGCTGGTCCTAACCCTTGCTGGCCACTGCAGCAGTAAAGTTGGTTCTGTCCCTTATGGGAGACCTGTATCCACACCTGAGACAGATGGCTTCACCTCTCACTACAGGCATGGAGGGCTGGCCCTGATGGCATGGGTGTAAAAGAGATGGCTGTGCCCCTCAATTGAGGAGGCAGTTTTTGTTTTCAATTATAATATATTTTGTATTTCTTTAGGAACATTAAATTTGGAACATCGCAAGGGTGAAGGGTGGATAGAGAGGGACTGGGAAATGAATGAGATTGGGGGGCACGATGTGAAGTTCCTAAAGAATCAAAAGTATGTTTAAAAAAAACATGACTTCTGGCATAATGGTATATGTAACAACTTAGAAGACCATTCTGCAATCAAAGTATTTTGAATAATGCTTCCAGGACTATTGTGTGTATTTTGATCGCATTCTGGGACAATAAAGCTGCTTTGTATCAGAGGGCAGAACTAGCCACTAGCTGAACAAAATTAACCATAAGGGTTTGGAGGACTGATGACAGATAGGAGATAGGAAATAGTAAGACAGGCCTGAGAGAGGATCTCAGCCCCTTTTGGATGGAGGAACAGAGGAAATAGGAGGTGACTTATCTACAGCTCCTCTGATCATTCAGGTTCTCACCCCAATATCTGTTTGCCCTTAGCATTGCAGCCTTCATAACTGCATCTATTTCTGTGACCGTTGGAGCCACTATGCCATTAGCTGACTTTTCTTGCCCCAAGCCCTCTGATTGAGCCTGGGATATCCCTGCTGTAGCTTCTCTACAACAACCTCCAGCTGCTACTCAAACTCCACAGTCCTTAAACTCCACAGGTGACTGGGCTCCAAATGGAGCTACCTGTCCATGACTGCATGGTTATCCCTACAGGCAGCTCCCACCAAATGTGCCTTTTCTGCCCATCCTCTGTGTCTTTGTTTTTAGATGGCTGGACCTTCTCTCCATGGGTAGTTGACTTCTCCTAGATTCCCTCCTCTGGTTGCTGTCCATTAGGTTAGCCACCTAGACACCCTCTTGGACTTCTTTTGTTGTCAGAAGCACTACACTCTCAGTTTACAGCTACATGTGAGCAGCTGCAACCAGGCTGTGCAACGCCTGAGTTCTCTGTATAGACATGCTACGCAATGACATTAAGTCTCACACTTCATTCTCATCATCAGCAGTTCTGATGAGACAACTGGGATTATTTTTTTTATTTAATTATTCTTAAAAACTCTCTTTTCTCATTTTACATACCAATTCCAATTCCCACTCCCTCCTCTCCTCCCACACCTTCCACTTTCCCTCCACTCACCCCCATTCATTCCCAGAGAGAGTAAGGCCTCCCATGGGGAGGCAACAAAGTCTAGCACATTGCTTTGAGGCAGGACCAAGACCCTCCTACTATATCTAGGCTGAGCAAGGTATTCTTCCTAAGAGAATGGCCTCCAAAAAGCCAGTACAAGCAGTGCTTGTCTCACTGCCAGTGGTCCCATAGGGTCCTATGCTGGTTCTCTCACTGTGAGGCTGGAGTTGGTGGGTTCTCATTAGCTCAGGTAAGCTGTTTCAGTGGGTCTCCCAACATGGTCTTGACCTCTTTGCTCATATTCTCACTCCTCTCACTCTTTGACTGGACTTTGGGAGCTCATCCCAGTGTTCTGTTGTATATCTCTGCCTCTTCTTCCAGCAGCTGTTAGATGAAGGTTCTATGGTGACATTTAAGATAATCATCAGTCTGACTCCATGGCAAGGCCAGTTCAGGCACCCTCTCTATTGCTTAGGATCTTAGTTGGTGTTATTCTTTTGGATTCCTGGGAATTTCTATTGCTATTACCATTATGGCTCCCTCAATCAAGATATTTCTTTGCTTGCTCTTTGTCTCTGCCCTTCCCCCATCTTCCCCATCCCTTTCCCTTAAGTCCACTCCCCTTCTCCCCTCCTTCTCACTTTCTGCCTTCCCTTCTACCACCACCCACATGCTCCCAATATTTTTAGGAGATATTGTCTATTTCCTCTTCTCAGAGGGATCTATGTTTCTCTTACAAGGACTAATTAGTTCAACTATGTTCATAGCTACATTGTTTGTAATAGACAGAACCTGGAAACAAACTAGATGACAAACAACTGAAGAATGGATAAGGAAAATGTGATACCTTTACACAATGAAGTACTACTCAGTGGTGGATGCAATGACATCTTGAAATTTGCATGCAAACAGATGGAAATAGAATAAAATCATCCTGAGTGAGGTAACTGAGACCCAGAAAGATGAGCATGGTACGTGAGCATTCATAAGTGGATACTAACCGCAAAGCAAAGGATAACGAGCCTACAGTACATGACCCCAGAGAAGCTAACTAATAAGGAGAACCCTAAGAGCAACTGGAAATTATTAAAGGGGGGGGGTTAGTTAAAAATGTTGTTCCTCATGTTAAAAATGAGAAATAATATTACAATGAAGGAAGTTAGGGCTCTGTATGGATAGTTTCCAAATGGAATAGTTAAATGAGTGAACAATCAACTTAGCTGAGGTTGACATAAGTCAATTATAAACATTATCATTTTGGTAAACTTGTTTTGTCCCTAAAAAGTTGTTTGATATTGGTGTGAAATATAAAAAAAAATGACCAATAATATAAAATCCTGATAAGATAAAAATCCTTAGAAAGACAGACTAATGAAACTAAGAGAAACATTCATACACAGACGGAGGAGTTTAGAGCAGAAGTTACAACACCATTGCATTATAGAACTGAAGAGCAGTGGCCCAATGTTGTTAGAAAATGAATCTTAATTTATCCAGTCACCATTCAAGAATGACCACCCAATGACAGGTGTTTCTTTTTTTTTTTTTTATTGAAAGAAAGAAAAAAAAATTTCCTCCTCCTCCCAGATCCTCACCTCCCTGCCCCTCCCCCCACTCATCTTTCGCTCCCCCCACTCCTCTCCCCATCCCTCTTCAGTCTGAAGAGCAGTCAGGGTTCCTTGCCCTGTGGAAAGTCCAAAGTCCTCCCCCCTCCATCCTGGTCTAGGAAGGTGAACATCCAAACTGGCTAGGCTCCCACAAAGCAAGAACATGAAGTAGGATCAAAACCCCGTGCCACTGTCCTTGGCTTCTCATCAGCCCTCATTGTTTGCCATGTTCAGAGAGTCCGGTTTTATCCCATGCTTTTTCAGTCAGAGTCCAGCTAGCCTTGGTGAGCTCCCAATAGATCAGCCCCACTGTCTCAGTGGTTGGGTGCACCCCTCGCGGTCCTGACTTCTTTGCTCATATTCTCCCTCCTTCTGCTCCTCCTTGGGACCTTGGGAGCTCATTCCAGTGCTCCAGTGTGGGTCTCTGTCTCTATCTCCATCCATCTCCAGATGAAGGTTCTATGGTGATATGCAAGATATTCATCAGTATGGCTATAGGATAGGGCCATTTCAGGTTCCCTATCCTCAGCTGCCCCAGGAACTAAGTGGGGACATCGCCCTGGGCACCTGGGAGCCCCTCTAGGTCCAAGTCTCTTGCCAACCCTAAGATGGCTCCCTTAATTAAGATATGTGCTTC